TTGCACCTAAGGTAAAGCTGCCTGTTCTAGGCCCAGGCAGGGCTAACTGCCCACCATACCCCACCCCCGCTGTGTATTTTAGCAGATAGAAACTGGAATTTTTTTCATAAGAACCTTTATAAGAAACAAAGGCCAAATCAAGGAAAACAAAGGAAATAAAAATTAAAACTTAAAGCATAAAGGTCAGCAAACAAAACAACCACTTCTCAGCCATCATTTTTTTTTTTTAAAGATTTTATTTATTTGAGACAGAGAGAATGAGAGACAGAGAGCATGAGAGGGAAGAGGGTCAGAGGGAGAAGCAGACTCCCTGCCGAGCAGGGAGCCCGATGCGGGACTCGATCCCAGGACTCCAGGATCATGACCTGAGCTGAAGGCAGTCGCTTAACCAACTGAGCCACCCAGGCGCCCTCAGCCATCATTTGAATAACACTTTTGAAAGTATCATCAGGCCTGACTCATTCATTCAAACAAATGTTTGCTGAGAACCTACCATGCGCCAGGTTCTGTGGCTCCAGTAGGGATACGGGAGTAGTGGTTCTCTTCTGTCCCCTGCCCTGGGGGATCATTTACCCGTGGGGGCGGCGACTGACCCATGTCCCAGCCTTACGTGTAGTAGGGAGGGCCTGCTACTGTGCAGCCTGTTCACACACAACATAGTGGTGTCCCCTGAAGCTGTATGATAAAGAGGCCCTGTTTGGGGAGTTCCCTAGGGCTAGGAATGAGCCAGGCTGTGCCTCAACGGGGCACCAGCCCACCTGCCCAGGTCTGTTTCCACCCATGGGACACTGGGGTCCTCTGGATTTTTTCACTCTTTAAAGATCTCCAAGTCTCCAAGGAGAATCTACTAAAGCTAAACACACCTCCCCGCCCCCCCCCCCGCCCCAAGACCCAGCAATTCAACCCAACAGAAATGAGAGCTTATGTCCCCCCATAAGACACGTCAAAATGTTCCTATCAGGCTTTATCCTTAGCCAAGAACCGGAGACAGCACAGATGTCCACCAACAGCCGGGTGGGTAAACTGTGGTGGCTCCACATGGACTATGACACAGAAGTGACAAGGAAGGAGCTATCTTGACGTGCAATAGCTCGGATGAGTCTCACAACACCATGTTGAACAGAAGAAGCTATTTGTGAAAGAAGACCCATTGCATGAGTCCATTTATATGAAGTTTAAAAATGGGCAAAACCACCCCTCTGTTGGCAGAGGTCAACATGTGGTCCCTCAGCGGGGGGGGGTACTGGCAGGGTGGGGGGCACCCCCACAGGAGACTTCTGCGGTGTTGCAAGTGGCCTCTGTCTTGATCTGTGGTAGTTACATACGTATGTGCTTACCAAACGTCACAGAGCTGCACGCTTCCAATGTGTGCGCCCCAGGTGTGTGAGTGATCACTCAGGGACAAGTCTGGGGGACAGTCCGCTGGGGCCCGGCCCCTGGTGAGGGCTTTTGCGCGCTGGGGCTGCCCGGCCCTCTGCAGGCGTGGGAGGCCAGCGGCTCACGGCCCCCCCCCCCCCCCCCCCCCCCCGCAGAGCAGTCTGGCCCAGTGGGGCGCGGCGGCCGCCATGCAGGTGGTGTCCCGGCGGCAGAGTGAGGTGCGAGTGCCCTGGCTGCACAACCTCGCCGCCGCCCAGGACGAGGACCACGACGACCGGACGGACACGGAGGGAGAGGAGACGGAGCAGGAGGAGGAATCTGACACCGAGGAGAACAAGCTCAGCGAGGTAAGGCGGCGAGCAGAGGCCGAGTGGGGACGTGGACGCCTCACGGTCCCACAGCCCACTGAGGGGCCGCGAAGCAGAGGCACGGGGTGGGCCTCGGCCCCCAGACCCAGAGCCACAGCGCGTGCAGGCTGCGCTGTTCACCGCACCCCCAGACGGCCGGCTAACAAAGTACTTCCATGCCCTTCTCTCGGCTGACCCTCCCAACAGCCCCAGAAAGTAGGCAGGGCGGAGACTGTCATCCCCGTGGTGCAGGTGAGGAAGCAGGTCCAGAGAGGGGAAGTGACCTGCCCAAGGCCACACAGCTCGGAAGAAACCCGCGGCCCCGTCCTTTCCCTCCAGCTCTGGGGGCGGTGGGGAGGACAAGGGCGGGGGGTGCGCCGCCGCAGGTGCTGACCTAGCTCTGGCCCCCCAGGTGGCAGCCCTGCCCAGCCCGCAAGGCCTCCTGGGCAGCGTGGCACACGTGCTGCAGAAGGCCACGTGGAGCACCATCTCAGCCGTGACGTGGGCGCCTGTGGCTGTGCTGGGCTCGGCGGCGAGGATGCTGGGCCTCAGCCCGGCCCACGCCGCCTCCCCTACCAAGGGGAGGGCCATGTCCCTGTCAGATGCCCTGAAGGGCGTCACTGACAACGTGGTAGATACGGTGGTCCACTACGTGCCGGTGAGTGCCACCCACCCCAGGGGCCTGGGAAGGACGGGTAAAGCAGATTGGACCCAAGGGGCTGCAGTGGGCCTCCTTTCCCCAATCTCCTTGGCGCCCCAGAAACATTTTGACGAACTACGGCCTTGATGGGGGGCCCTTGCCAGCCCCAAGAGTATAGAGACACTGGCCGTGGCCTGAGACCCTTTCCCACAGCCCCCCCTTCCAACTGGGGGTCCCCAGTTGGGCCAGCCCTCACCTCAGGGGGTTTGCGTGCGGCTAGAGGGAGGCTTCCAGGGCGCCCTGGGGGTGGGCTCTGTTCCAGGGCGCAGCTGCTGCCCCATCCCTGTCCTATCACCTATTACCAACAGGAAAAACCCAAGAGACACCAATACTGTCCCTCTGGCAGTCCCCGGGCCCCTGCCCAGAGCAAGGCACGGGTTGTGTAGGCTCCAGAAGGCGCAGTCAGGCACCCACCCTTTAGAGTGAGCAAGGGTTGGGGGCGGGGGTTACGCAGTCCCTCACTTCCAAGAGGCACGCAGGGGTCTTGGCTGCCAGCCTGTTCACCTTGGGCTCCACACGGGGCCAGGCAGGGATCCCCTGCCCCTGGCTGGGACCGCGGGTGGGCTGTGCTGAGCGCACAGCTCAGGCCCAAGGGACGGTGGGAAAGCCGCTGACTTTCCACGGAGCGACCCCTGAGGGAGACCCGAGGGGTCCAGGCACTTTGGGAGGGGGGCTGCCTGCCTTGCCTTGGGGGTCTGGGCCGAGGAGGCCATCGGAGAGGGCAAGGCGTCAGCGCTCTCCCCTGCTCCCCCGCCCGCGCCGCACACCCCAGGCTGTGCGCTCCGGAAGGCCGCTCCTGGGAGGGGTGCATGCGAGGGGCCGGGAGAAGCGGTGGATGGGAGGCGCAGGGACGAGGGGTCAGGCCGGGGCCCTAACACGGCTGCCGGGCCCTCAGCTCCCCAGGCTGTCGCTGATGGAGCCCGAGAGCGAATTCCGGGACATCGAAGAGGCCGAGCGCCGGGAGGCGGAGCGCAGGGCGTCTGGGGCACCGCCCGCCGGCCCCGAGCCCGCGCCGCGCCCCCCGCAGCCCCGCGGGAGCCTGCGGCCCGCGCGCAGCCCCGCGGCGCCCCCCGGCCCGGGGCCGGAGGACAGGGCGGACGCGCCCGCCGCAACGCGCCCGGCCTTCCCGGCGGTGGCCCGCGAGAAGCCGAGGCGCAGGGTCAGCGACAGCTTCTTCCGGCCCAGCGTCATGGAGCCCATCCTGGGCCGCGCGCAGTACAGCCAGCTGCGCAAGAAGAGCTGAGCCCCGCGCCTCCGCCCGCCGTCCCGCCCGCCGCCCCGACGGCGAGGCCGGGACCGGCTCTCCGCACAGAAGCAGAACCGGCACTTCCGAGGGAGCGGTGCCCTCTTCCAAGTAGTCCCCTGGGAACCCGAGCCTCATTCCCGCGGCGCTGCCCAGGCACGCATTATCTTTTTAGCACCGTTCTGGGGCTTCGCTGTCCGAACCTATTTTTAAGAAGCGTCGGAGCAGCAGCTTGCTTTGATTCTATGCCTTGTTGTTTTGCTCTGTTTCTTAGCCAAAGGATTAAGCGCCCGACTTGAGCTCTCACTTCTTTAACCAACGTGTGGCCAAATGACATTTGACTTGTTTCCAAAACTTAGATCCATCCTCTGTAGACAAAGATTAAGCAGGAGTCTCTGACATATGTTTAAGGCCTGAGCTCAGAGATTCCTCTGAGTATCCGGGCTCTCGACAGACTACTTTGAAGAGAGCGACAATTAGGTGCAGAAGCTGTTGGATGTTTATATAAATATTAGCCTCCCTTTCCGAGTACCCAGTACTCCTCGCAGGGTGATTCCCGGCCTGTGCTCTGTAGCGCCACCTCCTGGCTCACAGCCACACTTCCATTTGCTTCCTTCCTGACTTCATCTGTACGTTCACTCTTCCACCATTGCTGGCGCCCCCAGGGCCGGGGGACGACAATGATGACCCGTTCACCTTATAAAGAACTACATAGACTATATGTATGGACTCTGTAGTAGCCACAGTTCATTCCAAGTCCTATTTCTGAAAATGTCAATATTTGGTAAATCTAGGGAATGCATACATATAATTTAAAAATTCAAATATTGCAAAAGGGTGTGTGTCTTCCTCACTGAGTTCCCCAGTTCCCCTTCACAAAAACCACCGTGCCGTCAGTCTCTTGGGTATCCTTCCAGGTACAGGTTGTCCATGTGCAAGCCCACTTTGTGCACACAGCTGTGGGATGTGATCCTCTTTCTTCATGTAACAATAAATCTTAGAGATCTTTTTGTATCAGCACCATAAATCCATAAATCCTCCTTGCTCTTTTTAATGGCCATGTAGTAAGTGCTTCATAATGTAGATATGCTCTTTGATTTAACTGGTTCCCTAGTGATGGACTTTCAGGTTGTTTCCTTTCTTTTCTTTTCTTTTCTTTTTTGGTCCTGCAAACAGTCCTACAATAAATGTCTGTATACAAAATGTTTTGTGCAGATGTATAAGTATATCTACAGGAGAAATTTATAACTTGGAATCGTGACATGTGCATTTTATTTATTTATTTTTAAGATTTTATTTATTAGAGAGAGAGCACAAGTGGGGGGAGGGGTAGAGGGAGAAACAGACTTCCCGCTGAGTGGGGAGCCTGATGTGGGGCTCGATCCCAAGACCTGGGATCATGACCTAGGCTGAAGGCAGACCCTTAACCCGACTGAGCCACCCAGGCACCCCAAGAGTATGTGCATTTTAAATACTGTTAGATAAGGCCAAGTAGCCTTCCAAAACAAACTCAGTTTTTCTTGTTATTGTCATCTGCAGCTGCACAGGAAATTACTACATCTCTGTCAGTCCTTTTAGATGTCCATATATACAACCCCCATAGGCCCCTCTCAGACCTGTGAGCTCCCTCTTGGCCCCCACTCTGTTGCATACCTGAAAGCCCAGCTTTCTGAAACTGACTCTGGATCCTGGCAGATCTTTGGTGTAATGAGTCCTTGGCCTTGATGCTTGGGTTTGGAATCTGAGGATGGACATGCACAGGTGGACACGGCCAGGACTCAGAGCTAGCCTTGGGCACCCCACCCCACCTCTACAGTCCACACCACCCCCAGCAGTTTCCTGGGGAGGGAGTGTCATCTGACAAGAGGGGCCCTTATAAGCTGATATGACAGGGGCTACAAAGATAAAGTCCAGCCTAGCCCTGGCAGGGCTCTCGTGGGCAGCTGCTGGTGCAGTGACCTCAGGCAGAAACAGCCAGCTGTCTGGACTCACCTGCCCACACTGCTTTCTTCCTGGAGCTTGCGAAACCACACTCCTGACAGTCCACTCCTCCATTGTCCTGTGGCTCTTCCTTCTAGACCATACCCCAGTTGGCAGAAAAACTGCCCTCTCGGCAACCCAGAAGAGCTGGGGCCTCCACAGGGCTGTAGCAGTCCACACACTTGCTGGCCGGGCCCATACCCCTCACCTCTCGGGGTGCTGGGGGCCAGCATATGGAATAGCACAGCCCAGGAAATAAACAGCTGAAGTTGTAAAAGATTCTATCATTAAAAATCTCTTGATTAGGTAGCACAGTGCTCTGAGCCTGGCCCTTGGGGCTTCTGAACACTTTTTGGAGAGAAATGAGAGCAAAGTATCTCCTCTAAATGACAGAAATGTGCTTCATTGTCTGGTGTGGGACTTTTCACTGTTCCGAGAGACATCACTTTGGCAAGTCTCCTTGCTCACGTGGATGCGAAGCCTCATCTACACTCATCTTTGGACGCTCACGACCTCGGGAAACCCTCCATGTCACACTGGGATGTCGGGGCCCCTCTCCAGAGAAACACCTTACCCCCTCTCTTCTAGTCCAGCTCACAAAATGCACCTCCAACTCAATCACAACTTTTGGAGATGGAAAAAGAACCATTACCAACCACAAAATACATTTATCCATGCAGTTATTTACCACTTTTTTCTTCCATAATTATTCAGGATCTTAATATCTGAAGGACTTCTGTGTCTGGAGACAGCCCTGTGACTTGGGCTTTCTTGCTCATTGTATGAAGCAGAATTTTCCTAAACATTTAAACACTTCATGCTTAATCAAAACTTGTAAGATGCATAAATCAAATTATTTTAAATCTTGAAATGTTGGTCACAAACAGAAGTCAAATTCTCTTACATATTCCTATAAACCCTAAGTCAGTGGAAACTTCTACATGTCTCATCGGATCTCACTATAGTTAGCAGGCATCCAGAGGGTCCCCTGTCTGCAAAGAGGGGACTAAGCCTGCATGTCCTGCGGGTGGACCCTTCTTCTACCCACCACTCAACGTAAGAGACAGAATGTGAGAGGTACCGTTAGAACGTCCTATTTTTAGTATATGTGCTGCCGAAGCGAGCACCCGTTAGAACGTCCTGTCTGGCTTCTCCATTCCCTGCCCTGGCCCTGCCCCCAGGAACCATAATCTGGAATTTTGTGTTTACTGTACCTTTGCTTTGCTTTATAGATTCCTTTCCTATCCATATACCTCATTCCAATACTATTTCGTTTTGCAGGCTTTGAACTTTAAGCGGAATTATATGTATTCTTCTGAGACTTTTTTTTTTTCACTCAAAATGAAGTTCCTGAGAGTCACTCATTTTCACTAGAGATTTTTTTATTATGCAAATATTGCTGTGATCTGATTGTATCCCCCCCCCCATTCATATGTTGAAATCCTATCCCCAAAGATGATAGGATAAGGAGGTAGGGCTTTAGGGAGGTGATGAGGTCATGGGATTAGTGTCTTTATAAAAGAGGCCCCAGAGAGCTCCCTTGCCCCTTCCCCCATGTGAGGACCCAGCAAGAGGCACCAGCTATGAACCAAGAAGAGGGCCATCACTGGAACATGACCATGCTGGCACTGTGATGTTGGACTTCCCAGCCTTCAGAACTGTAAGAAATAAATTCCATTGTGTATAAGCTACCCAGTCTGTGGTATTTGGTGATAGCAGCCCAAATGGACTAAGACAAATACATTTTATATTTAATACATACATAAAATTAGTATATTAATATCAAATATATTAACTTAGTCATTTGTATTAGAATTGATTCTGTTTTGAGAGATAGAAAGCCCTAAATAACAATGTGTATTAGTCAGCCTTTGCCATAATACTGCTGCATAACAAATATCCTACAGATTATGGCTATGACAACATACATTTATTCTTACGTTTGTGGGTCAGCAGGTCGACTGCGGTTCAGCTCACCCCTGTGGCACTCCAAGTGGCTCTGCTCTGGCCTGTGGATCATCTGAACTTGGCTTCAGGCTGTGCATGAGTTCAGATCTGCTCCAGGTGTACTATTTCAGGGATCCAGGGTAAGTAAGGGTCAGTGGCTCTCTGGGGCATGCTCTCCCACAACAAATCACAGCCCTCTGCTTGCATCCTGTCTCCTCAGATTCCATTGGCCAAAGCGTGTCAAGTTCCCACCAATGGGGAGAGTGATCTGCTTTACTCAAAGTTCACCAATTTATATGTTAATCTCACCCTAAAAACGCCCTCACAGAGACATCTAACGTAATGTTTGACCAAATATCTGGGCAGTCCCTGGCCCAGTCAAGTGGACACATAAAATGAACCATCACATTTGCCAACACCATGCAGACCTGTCTCATGTTCATATTCTAAGCCGTCATAGTCATTCTGGAAGTCAAACATTACAGTGGTTACTTCCCAGGCAGCAGCCCTAAGCCATGCAGTACAAGAGATGTGAGGGAAAGCCGCTCTTAGGGCTCCCAGGAAAAGTTCCTTCGATCCGAAGGGTGCAGCATGATACGGTGCTCTTCTCCTCCTCTAGATGTTTTATGGTGGAAGGTGATGGCTGGGGAAAGAGACAAGCCAGGTCCTCTGTCACACTGCCACTGACCCAACCTGCCCCAGAGCCTCCTCCCTCTTGTCTTTCAGCTGAGATAACACACAGCCTTATTGTTCAAGCCACATCGAGTTATGGTTGTGTTCCTTGAAGCTGAGGGCTTCCTAATATAGATCTATCCAGAGAGACTTGGTAACTTCTACAGCCTTTAATTGCATTGCCTGTCTATGACAGGCAATCTTCTGTATACATAATAAATTTCTCTACTACAGTGGAGTTCAATTTTTCTCTCTTTTCTTTTTTTTAAAGATTTTATTTATTTGCCAGAGAGAGACACAGCAAGAGAGGGAACACAAGCAAGGGGAGTGGGAGAGGGAGAAGCAGGCTTCCCGCTGAGCAGGAAGCCCGATGCGGGGCTCGATCCTAGGACCCTGGGACCATGACCTGCTTAATGACTGAGCCACCCAGGCACCCCAGAGTTCAATTTTTCTAATGACATTTAATGTGACAAATATGTTTTTAGATTTTAATTAAAATTCAACCACACGTGGTGCTCCCAGTGCAACCAGTCCATCAGAGGTCACGGAGGTGAAGACACCATCTCCTTGAGGTGGCCGGTGGACGTCCCCATCACCTCTCCTGGTGCCACGTTTCCCCGGGGAATGACTACAAGATGCAACTCCATTTCGCAAATGTGACAATGTGAGAAAATGGGAGTCTTAGAAATGAGGAAGCATTTTTTTTTGATGTGGGGAGATAGACATTTCTACTGTTTTTTGGGGGGGGTTCAGGACTGAGAGTACAAAACAGAGGTGACTGAAGACGGGACTCTGAGCTGAGGACAGGGTGGCCTCCAGATGTGGGCCTTGACTTCTAAAGCATAAAATGCCATCAAGAGGATGCTTCTTTATTCTCCAGATGTGTCCTAAGTGCCCTTCTGTCACTTTGTGCCTACGATATGAAAACATGAGCCATAGTGATCCATATCCATATTTCTGCTAATGCAAAAAGGGTTTCCTTCCTTTCTTCAATAACTTTTACTGAAAACCTCTATGGAGTGACGGTGCCAGACCATGGGCCAAGGGAAAGAGACACAGGGGTAAATAAGGCACACTCCTTTCAAGGACCTCTCAGTAGGTCAGTGGACCTACTAATGGCTTAGTAGGTACAGTGGATAAGTGACAATATGTGTATTATACGTGTGTAATATATATGTATGTGCTTGCATATCGTAGGGCCGTAGTCTGAATGTTTGTGTCCCCCTGCAGGTTCATATGTTGAAATCCTAACCCTCAAGGTGGGGCCTTTGGGAGGTGATTAGGTCATGAGAGTGGAGCCCTCATGGTTGGGGTCGATGTCCATATAGAAGAGGTCTCAGAGAATTAGCTTGTCTCTTCTGCCACGTGAGCACACTGTGACCTGGACCCTCTGGGACATCCAGGAAGTGCGCCCTCATCTGACACTGAATCTTCCAGTGCCATGATCTTGGACTTCCCAGCCCCCAAAACTTGAGAAATAAATGTCTGCTGTTTATAAGCTGTCCAGTCTGGGCATCTGACATTTTGTTATATCAGCCTGAATGGACTAAGACACAAAGAGAATAAGAGTTGGAAGGCATTGACCTCCAAGACATTGATTGTTCTTACCTGCCTCCTTCATACGTTGTGCTCTTTATTTTAACTGGCGTGTGTTACGGGACAGGGGGGAGACCAGTGAAGAGGCTCTCCAGTGGCCCAGATGGTGGCTTGGGTGGCCAGGGTGTAGAGGACAAAGAGCTTTGCCTGGACTGGAAGCTATGGGGGAGGGGCAGTCAGGATGAGAGGAGGAGACAAGGATGGCTGGAGTGCTGGGGTGGATAGTGGGGGACACACTGGAAGTGATGTGTGGGGCAGTCCCTTGGGCAGCACCTGCCCAGGTAAATGCAGGATGAATACCTCTGCAAGGTTCCCCTAGCTGTTCACCCAGAATAACCTCCCTAACTAGAGAGGTTGGCTGAGAACTCCACAACCTCACCTCCCAGTGGCCTCTTTCTGGGGCACTTGTCCCTCCAGGAACCCGAGGCTGGGTAGCCGTGCAGTCTACCAATAGACCAGTGGTTCCCCTGCTCATTTTAAACTGGGGGCTTCCAAGCCAGGGCTGTGGAGCCACGCCTTGTCAGGGCCTGCCCTGGTGAGGCTCCCCCAGGGGCAGCCTCCACCCTGCGCTCTGTCTGGCTTGCCGGCTTCCTGGTGGCATCCACCGCCCCACCACCCCACCCGGGGCGGAGAAGGGGCACAGCGACGACTCTGGTGTGAGTGCAGAGGGTGCAGCTAGGGCCCATTCACACAGGGTGGAGTGGGCCTCCAGCCCAATCTCGAAAATCTCCTGGGGGATGGATCATTCTCAGCTTTAGAGAGAAACGGAGGGTGGAGGCTTCCTGGGGATGGGGAAAGGAGAGCTTTGCTGAGCTTTGAGGGGGCGTAGGGAGTGCTGCGAAGAGATACAGGGGTAGCAATGGCGGGAGGAGAAAAGGTCTGCACCTGAACCAATGAACTAATGAACAAACAGTAGCTTATCTTTCGTCCACTGTTACTCAGAGTCTAGGGTTGGAAAACCCAACCTCCCCTCGCGGAGCGAAGTCTCCTTGTTCGTTTTCGTCTTCTCACCTGTTGCAACTTGCATTGTAAGATATAGATGCCCCGCTCCCTGAGCAGGTGGGCTTCTCCAGCTCGGAGCATCAGGCGGGCCTTGGTGGTCGCCGTGTCCCCAGAATTCCGCAAGTCTGCGCTGGAATCAGAGAGCAGCGTCTGCAGCCCCGGACCGCGCTGGGCCCCCACCCCTGGGGACGTATGACCCCGCCCCTCCGACGAGGCCCCGTCCAAACCCCGCCCCTTCAGCCCTGGCCCCGCCCCGTCTGCGGACAGACTCTGCGGCGCCGCCCGGCTCGCGCCTCCGCCCCCGAGAGCCCAGGCGGGCGGAGTTGCGGGTGAGGGGCGGGATGTTTTGGGGGGCGGGGGTCCCGATGACGGCATCGGAGCGCGCCGCGCGGAGGCTCGGAGGCTGACTGCACCGCGGGGGGGGACTGTGCTCCCACCCAAGCAGGTGGGTGTGGGCCCGGGAGGGGTGGAGGTCGAAGACGGGGCGGGTGGGGGGAGGCGCGCGCTCGCCCCCTCCCCGCGCAGGCCTGGGCCGGGTGGCGGGGCGGGGGGGCCGGCACCTGGGGAGCTCTGACCGAGCACGAGGAACCCCCATCCTTGCGTACCAGCCTCCTGGAGGCCCTTTCCTGGGCGGACGGGAGCACCCCCTTCCCTAAGTCGGGGGCCTGAGGCCAGCATCCCGGGCCTGGGCGGGAGGAGCGAGCGCCGACGCTGCGAAGGTCGGGTCCGCATTTGTAATCACTTTTCCAAACTCCGGGAGCTCCTGTCCGGTGCCCGCCTCCTCCAGCGCCCGACCGCACCGGTGGAGTTGTCCGGGCGCCCTCGGCGCGCGGCGCTGGAAGAGCTCAGGGTGCGGGGCGCGCGGAGGAGCCCACTGTATTGCGCGATGGTTCCCGCTGTGTCCCCAGGGCCCGGCACCCGGGAGGGACTGGATGAGTGAGGGAACGAACGAACCGTTACATGTGTTGAGAGTTAGTGACAAATTGAGGGCTGTGGGCCCGGGGGTAGGGGGCGGTGTGGACTGCGATAAGAGGAGAATGGGGACGGGGAAAGTTTTTTGGATGCAGTTTCATCATCACTGTTGGGCAGCTACTAAGCGACCGACCTTGTGCTGGGCGCTGATGATGCAGCACGAAACGGGACAGCAGGGTCCCTGCCTCCCGGCTCCGTCTGCAACAGAGCAGCCAGTGGCTGTGTGTGTGTGTGTGTGTGTAAGCCCGGGAGAGATGGGAGGGTGTTGCAAGCAGAGAAAGGTGAGCAAAGGTGGGCAAAGGTGGGGTGCAGGATGTTAGTAGACAAGGTAGACAGGGCTGTTAGACTTTTGAATATCAAGGGCAGTGGGGAGCCTCTTTTGGGAGAGTTTAAGCAGGAGAGTAACAGGATTGCTTTTGCAATTTTGAAAGATGCCCCTGGTTGTCCTGGCGGAGGGCACAGGGAGGCGGAGAGCAGTGAGGAAGCTGGTCAAGAGGTCAGTGGCCAGGACCCGGGCTTTGGCCATAGGATGGGGAGAAGCTGGTGAACCTGAGAGATATTTAGGAGATGGAATTGGCAGATCTGGTGGCGGGAACTTGGTCTCGAAAGATCTGACTGTTTTGAAGAAGGTGGGGCGGGGATGTGAGGTGACAAAGGCAGAGATTATGGAGACCCCAGTGGGTACTGGGGAAAGGAGTTCCCTGGTGTGGTGGTAGCAGTAGTGGGGGGGTGGTGTCCTAGGAGATGGGGTTCCAGGGGAAGGGTACAGCTAGAACACGGGAGCCCATGGGACTCAGGTGGTGGAGTTAGGGCCTGTTTTGCCAGTGATGGGGGCCATGAAGGGTTACCTGTAGGACTGAGTCGGCCCTTGCAGTATTTGGGCGCCAGGCTGGTACAGAGGACGCTCTGAACTTTAATCACCCTCCCTCCCTGCTCTCCAAGGTCAGGAGCCCCAGGATGTGGCTCCAGGTCACCTGCGGGGTGGGTCCAGCCCCTGGGGTACAGGTGCTGATGGGAGGGGCCTCTTGCTCTCTCTCTAGGGCCAGGAGGAGCGCCCCCTCCCCAGCATGGGGCTGGAGAGCCAGAGGCTGCCAGGGGCTGAGGAGGCCCCGGTGAGGGTGGCCCTGAGAGTCCGTCCACTGCTGCCCAAGGAGCTGCTGCATGGGCACCAGAGCTGCGTGAGGGCGGGGCCTCAGCACAGCCACGTCACCCTTGGGCGAGACCGCCACTTTGGCTTCCACGTGGTGCTGGCTGAGGACGCCGGGCAGGAGGCCGTGTACCGGGCCTGTGTGCAGCCCCTCCTCGAGGCTTTCTTTGAGGGCTTCAATGCCACGGTCTTTGCGTACGGTCAGACAGGCTCCGGGAAGACATACACCATGGGGGAGGCCAGTGTGGGTGAGTGACCCTGCCTGAGGCCCCGGGCCCCGTGCTGAGGGGCCTCGCTGTCGCCGAAACTTCTGCCTTTGCCGTTCCCTGTCGAAGGTGGGAGCGTTGGGGGAAGGAGAGCAGCTTTCCTCCTCAGATCTGCAGCCCACTGGGGGGACCAGCCATGGCAGGAGGCTGACCAGCGGAGGAAGGGAGAGTCCTTGGAGGTGGGGGGCCTTTCGGCTCCAGAAACGAGGTCACACTATGTGGTTCGGGTGATCTCAGCGGGCGGAAAGGGGAGAGAAGTCGGCTTGTCTCTGGAGGTTGTCGGGATGCCTGCCAAGGGTCAGGAATCCGTGTTTGAGTCAGAGTCAGAGTAGTTGGAATGGGGACGGTCCTGGGAGAGCCGTGCTTTGGCTGCCGCCTGGTGAGGGAGCAGGCAGTTCAGTGGAGCTCGGGAGCAGACTCTTGGGAGAGATGCTCTGGGCCAGTTGAAGGAACTGCCCCCATTTTCACTGCCCCCATTTCTCTTAGGTTATAAAAGTATCCATGTTTGTCATGCAAAATTAGGAAAATACAGAAGAACACAAGCACAAAAGAAAACATACTTGATAATTGCTTTTCAGCCCTGTTAGCATTCCAATTTCTTTCTCTGAAGAAATTATTTTACCTTTAAAAAATGGGATTATATTATACCCATTCTTTTATATCCTGTTTATTTTTCTTAATAATCTATCATAAATATTTCTCTACATCATTATTGTTCAAGCTAATTATTTATTTATTTATTTTTCAAGCTAATTTTTTAATGGTGGCTTGGCATTCTATGGTGTATATGAGATAATTTATTTAACCACATCCCCTATTGGATCTTAGGACTTTTGAATTTTTTTGAAGTTATTTAGAGTGCTGCTCTGAATAGCCTCTTATTACTCCCTTGGGATAAATTTAGGAGGTCCTTTAGATAACTGAGCCTAGACTGTAGTAATGAGCTCCCCGTCCTGGGGAGTAATCAACCCAAGGGTATCTGCTGATCTAGCAGGGATGTAGTGGAAGGGATGCTTACATCATGAAAGGGGTTGGTGGGACCTTGAGAGGTTGCTTCCAACTCTGAAATTCTATAATTCTGCCTGACCACCCTGGAGCATGGGCTGGCTCAGGCTACCCAGCCATCCTGGCCTCTTCTGTTGCCTTCATGCTGGAGCCCCAGCCTCCAGTTGCTGGCAGGGGCCTTGCGGCCTTGAGCCCTGTCCAGCTGAAGGCATGGTGGCAGGAGGCTCTGTGGTGTGTCCCCAGCGTCCCTGCATGAGGACGAGCAGGGCATCATCCCACGGGCCATGGCTGAAGCCTTCAAGCTTATCGATGAGAATGACCTGCTGGACTGCCTGGTGCATGTGTCCTACCTGGAAGTGTATAAGGAGGAGTTCCGGGACCTGCTGGAGGTGGGCACTGCCAGCCGTGACATCCAGCTTCGGGAGGATGATCGGGGAAATGTTGGTGAGGAACTCCCAGGGCCTCCACTGGCTGGGAGTGGGGCTTCACCTGCTGAGGGGTGGTTCACCCGTCTGGGAGGGGTACCTCCTAACTGGGGAACCCAAGCTCTGGAAGGTTGTGCCTTCCTGTCTCCTGTCTCCCGTGAGTTCAGTATATACTTCTGTACCCAGAGTGCAAGGCATTGAGGTGGGCTTGGGACAAGCTGGAGCCCCGAGGCCCGAGCCAGGATGAACAGGACACGCCACCCCCTACCCCCCGGGTGTCCCGAGCATGGGGAAGGGGCACCTGGGTCAGGAAGAGCCGTAGAGGGCCAGCCCTGCTCTGCCTGCCCTCCTGGCCGCGCAGTCCCGGGCAGCCCCTGGCCCGGGCTCACCGCCTTCCGTGCCCGCAGTGCTGTGTGGTGTGAAGGAGGTGGACGTGGAAGGCCTGGACGAGGTGCTGAGCCTCCTGGAGATGGGCAACGCGGCGCGGCACACGGGGGCCACACACCTCAACCGCCTGTCCAGCCGCTCACACACCGTCTTCACCGTGACCCTGGAGCAGCGGGGGCGCGCCCCCAGCCGTCTGCCCCGACCCCCCGCGGGCCAGCTGCTGGTGTCCAAGTTCCACTTCGTGGACCTGGCGGGCTCGGAGAGGGTGCTCAAGACGGGCAGCACGGGCGAGCGGCTCAAGGAGAGCATCCAGATCAACAGCAGCCTCCTGGCGCTGGGCAACGTCATCAGCGCCCTGGGCGACCCCCAGCGCCGCGGCAGCCACATCCCCTACCGGGACTCCAAGATCACCCGGTGAGGGCCCTGCGGCCGGCGGCCCACGGGAGCAGGGGCCCCTCTCGGGCTGCTGAGCGGGAGGAGGCGAGTAAGGGATGGGTCCCATCTGGCTTCGGGGCGCGCCGTCCACCAGTCCGAGGTGCCGGCCCGCGGGGTACGATTCGGGGTCCGGGCGCGCTGGGGCCCCTGACGCCCCCACCTGGCGTCCTCAGGATCCTCAAAGACTCGCTGGGCGGGAACGCCAAGACGGTGATGATCGCCTGCGTCAGCCCCTCCTCCTCCGACTTCGACGAGACCCTCAACACCCTCAACTACGCCAGCCGCGCCCAGAACATCCGCAACCGCGCCACGGTCAACTGGCGGCCCGAAACGGAGCGCGCGCCCGAGGAGGCCGCGGCCGGCGCGCGGGGGCCCCCGCGCCACCGCTCGGAGACGCGCATCATCCACCGCGGCCGGCGCGGCCCCGGCCCCGCCAACGCCCCCGCCGCCGCCGCCGCCGCCGCCGCCCGCCTGGGCGCCGAGTGCGCGCGCTACCGGGCGCGCACCGACGCCGCCTACAGCCTCCTGCGCGAGCTGCAGGCCGAGCCCGGGCTGCCCGGCGCCGCCGCCCGCAAGGTGCGCGACTGGCTGTGCGCCGTCGAGGGCGAGCGCAGCGCCCTGAGCTCCGCCTCCGGGCCCGACAGCGGCATCGAGAGCGCTTCAGCCGAGGAGCAGGCCACGCAGGGGCCCGGCGGGCCAACGGTGGCCAAGGGCCAGGTGTGGCCCCGGGGACGGAGGGAGGGAGCGGGGAAGGAAGAGGTCTTCATACAGCCAGCCGTGCCCCTGCGCCTTGTCCATCAGCAGAGCACATTGCCGATTCAGAGGCATACTGCTGATGACCTCGATCACGTTCCTTACCCTCCCCGAGCCTCAGGGTCTCTATCTGTGAAATGGGGCTAACATTGGTATCTACCTCTGGGCATGTTCTAAGGGCCGAAGGGGTACCAAGTGCCCAGCCCAGCATGCTGCGGAGCCTCAGTAGGTGGTTCCTAATAATAGTGGTGATGTTATTATTAATAAAAGTATGATTAATAATGACAAGAGATGGCGCAAATAGCTTGCAGAGGGGACCACTGGCAGGGTGGGCTCTGGAGCCCCGATTGCTGCCAGGGCTTGCAGCAGTGGCCAGCTGGGCTAGGGGAACCCCTGGCAGGGCAGAGGGAGGGCTGGGGTGTCCCAGAGACAGGCAGGCTTGTCCTGAAGTCTCTCTCCTTGCCCCTTAGGACGAGGAAGGGGCAGTGCAGCTGCTTGCCCTGCAGAGCCAGGTGGCCCGGCTGGAGGAGGAGAACCGAGACTTCCTGGCTGCGCTGGAGGACGCCATGGAGCAGTACAAACTGCAGGTGGGGGGCAGGCTTCCTTGAGGTGAAATTCAGAGAAGAGGGAGTTAGCCAGGGCGGGCTTCTGACAGGGTGGAAAGAGATGGGGGAGGAACAAGTGAGCAAGTGTGGAGGTGAGGAACAGATGGTGCGGGTGGGTGTGCGGGATGGCGATGAGCGGGATGAGAGGTGGGACTGGAGGGGCAGCGGGTCTGGTCCCTGGAGTCAGGCGCTTTTGTCCCAAGGTAACTGGGTCAGCATTGATCCTGGCGCCCTCTGGCGGCTGTGATGGGCATGGAAGTGGCGGACTGACGGAGGGAGGGATAGGACTTAACTGGGTGGGGTGAGTTTGACCCTGAACTAGTGCGGGGGGGGGGGGGGGGCGGTGCGAGGGCCCAAGGGGTGGTCAGAGGTGTTTGGCCCTTCTCAGTTTTAGCCCAGAGAGGGTGGGGTGGCCTCAGACCTGTTCTTCAGTTTTCTGTCGGCATCCCTGCGCCCTCCCCACCCGCACCCCGCATCAGCACCAGGCACTTGTCTTCCAGAGCGACCGGCTGCGGGAGCAGCAGCGGGAGATGGCAGAGCTGCGGCTGCGGCTAGAACTGGTGCGGCCCGGCTGGGGGGCCCCAGGGCTCCTGCAGGGCCTGCCTCCCGGGTCCTTTGTGCCCCGGCCTCACACAGCCCCCCTGGGGGGTGCCCACAGCCACGCGCTGGGCATGGTGCCCCCTGCCTGCCTTCCTGGAGATGAAGTTGGCCCCGAGAACTGGGGAGAGGTGAGGAGGTGGTGAGGCTGGGTGTCTGTTGAACTGGACAGCCTTGGGCAGAGCAAGGGCGGTGCCGGGGAATGTGCCCCTCACCCCAGGCTTTCCTGGGACGAGCTGGGAGACGCCCCTTTCCAGTGCCCCTAGAGGAAGGGCCAAAATTTGGGTGACTCTGTAGGGCCACTCAGAAGGATCTGCTGCCATTGGGCATCCCTGGGCTGGCTGCAGATTGTGGAGGTTACAGAGGGGATTCTGGCTTCCGGCACTGGATGGGAAGCTTGCATACCTCCAGAGATGGGGAGCTTATCACCTCTGAGGTTACCCCTTCTGTCTTTGCAAGTTTACTTTCCCATGAGCCCTAATCGCCCTGAGCTTGGCCTCCTACTTGGGACCTTTTGGACAAAGGCTGCTCCTGCATCTTCCTGAAAGCTCTGGGTCATCTCCGCTGTAAAAGCACAGAGGAGAGGGAGGGCGTGAGTTTGGCAGGAGTCTGTTACACACCCACCACTCGGGCAGAGTGTTGTTGGTGAGATAAAGACTTGGGTGCAGATGGCCTGTATACAAAGATAGGGCAGACTGTCACCTGAGGAGTCCCAGGTGCTGGGTGGGGGAGGGAGGGAGCTCCTGCTCCAACTTGGGATGGGCAGGGCGGGGCATGGGGGGCACCAAGACTGGTGATGGGAAATGCCTGGTGGAGGGCGCCCTGGAGCCTTCCTGTCCTGAAGCCCTTGGCACTCCCCTAGGAGGTGACAGATGGCAGAGAGGCTAGAGCCACGGCGGAGGCAGACAGGCCCGGCAGCGGCTCTTCAGCTGCCTCGGACGAGGAGGAGGAGGAGCCCCCCCAGCGGACCCTGCACCTGCGCAGGTGAGTGGGACCAGCTGCCACCCGACAGAAACCACCTCAGGGCCCGGGCTGGGCAGGGGGAGGACCCCGCTGTGGTCTCAGGGTACCCTCACCTCCATTCCCCCGTGCAGTTGGGAAGAACAGATGGGGGCGGGGGGCTTGGGACCCAGAGTTCTCACTGGGGTGAATGTGCTGCAGGGTGGGCCGAGGCTTCCTGGTTCTCAGCCTTCAAGGCGGCCCTCGGTGCCCCCAACAGCCCAGCGCCCCCTAAGCTCAGCCCCTGTGGCCTCAGTTCTTCCAGACTAACACCCTGGGGTTCCATTGGCCCTGAGGGGATAGAAGGCCCAATGGCTTCTCTTCCTTCCTCTGGCTGGGAAGGGTACAGACTCCTGCTTCTGTCTTCCAGAAACGGGATCAGCAAGTGGAGCCAGAGGGTGGGGGCCTGCCCAGGGAGTCCACTCGACAAGAAGGGCCCAGAGCTTCACCTTGAGGAACTGGGTGCAGCCATCCCGGGGCCCAGAGGTGAGCTGGGTCCGGGGTGGAGAGGGCTCTGATCCTCCCCTCCGTGGTCCTGCACTAGCCATCCTGGACAGTCCACACCTCATCCCTGGCTGCCCCTGCCCAGGGCGTGCTTCTTCCCTCCCCCGTCACCTCCTGTTGGGGCAGTGGCCTTGACAGTGGGCTTGTTACAGTCATTGGTGGGAGCAAGGCCCTGGCTCGACCCCGTCAGACCCCCGCTGCCATGGCCTCTGAGTGGCGGCTGGCGCAAGCCCAACAGAAGATCCGAGAACTGGCCATCAACATCCGCATGAAGGAGGAGCTCATTGGCGAGCTGGTCCGCACAGGTGAGGTGGTGGGCTTTCGGGTGGGTCTCCCACCTGAGGGTGGTTAGGAGCAGGGGCCAGATGGTTTAAGTTTGGTAACCAGCTAGCCTCTTCCAGCTGTAGGACCTTGACCAAGTAGGATAGCACCTCTGTGACTCAGTTTTCTCATCTCTAAAGTGGGGATAGTAATTGTCCCTGTTTTATGGGTTGTTGAAGTGAGTTAATTCAGCTGAAGTAATTAGGCTGGTTCTCAGGAAGCATTACCTATGAGGAGTAGTTGTATTTACTAGTTGTCTGCTGTGTGAGGCGGTGTGGTGCATTCAGACCTCTTGGTCTTAGGGAGCAAACAGTGTCCCCAAATCATGCTCTGTCTACCCCTGGTGATGTGTGTAAAGGGCCTGGGAACGGTTTGAGGTAGTGACCAGCTGAGGCTTTTTATTTTAATAGTTACATGTTTGTTACAAAATGCCTGATGAAGAATTTCAAACACACGAGGAGAGACTGGGTCAGTGGGGCCCTCACCCCATTACCCAGATTTAGTGTTACGAGGTTTTCCCCACATTGATCTCTCCCTTTTCTCTTTGCTGTTTTGAAGCAAATCCCCACAAATCTTGTCATTTGGCCCCCACACATTTCGGTATGCCTCTTTCTGGACATTTTAACCAAAATGCCGTGAGCACGTCGAACAAAACTTCCTGTCACCTGGATGCCCAGGGCACGGCCGTCCCCGAAGTTCCTCGGCAGGGTCTGTGGCCCGCTGGTTTGCTGGAACCCAGCTCCACACGTGTCCCACATGCTGTGTGTGCTTGTTAGGCGTCTGAAGTCTCCCTTCTAGCTCCTTCTCAAAGTCCTGTAGAATGTCTCAACCCCCACCCCCTCAACCCCATGTTCTCGGTTTGCCTATTTGCTTCTTCATGTTGTTATTTAACTTGTTCCTCTGTCCTCAGATTTCCTGCAAATGGAAGTTAGTTCTAGAGGCTTAATAATATGCAGGCCCAAGCTCTATATTTGTTAGTATGTATTAGGTAAAACTAAAGCCAATTTAACCCATTAATATCCCTGGATTGCTGTTACTGATAAGGCCCATTTAAAAAGCGAGTGATTTAAAAGAAAGTAGATTAACTCATGGTACCTGTGGTACCTTGACAAAGCCCATGCAGGTGCCCCTGGCTGGCAGGTGACTGGAACCCCTCCCAGGGGTGTGAAGGGATGGTCCTCCTGGGGGAGAGGGGCGGCCTGTGATGAGCGCCCCCCCCCTTCTTCCAGGGAAGGCGGCCCAGGCCCTGAACCGCCAGCACAGCCAGCATATTCAGGAGCTGGAGCGGGATGCAGAACAGGTGCGGGCTGAGCTGAGTGAAAGCCAGAGACAGCTGCGGGAGCTTGAGGGCAAGGAGCCTCAGGACGCCGGAGAGCGGTCCCAGCTCCAGGAGTTCCGCAAGAGGGTCGCTGCCGCCCAGAGCCAAGTGCAGGTCAGTGTTGGGATCCCGGGGTGGTGGCTGGAGTCCTGGGATCGAGACACGTGGGTCCCAGGGCCCACGTTCACTGGAACCTGTGGATGTTCAGGGCCTTGTGCCCCCAGCTTCTAGCTGGTTTGGCCTCCCGGGGTGAGGCTGGTGTTACACAGAAGTTGGCAGCCTGGGGGGTCGGCTCAGCTTTAAACACGGCAGAGGCAGGGAAGCCAGTCCTGCCTGGAGACCGGTAAGAGGGGAAGGGTGGGCATCAAAAGCAAGGTACCCATTCCTCATGCGACCCTCGCCTCCCAGTTCCCCAAGCACTTACCTCTCCATTCCATCTTCTCTCTGTCTTTCTACCCATCCATCCATATGTCTGTCTCATCCATACACCTGTTTATCATTTTGTTGGTTCGTAACCCCCTCTGGAGCTTCCCAGGTATAACCTGAAATGGGTCCCCACACTCGGAGGGAGAAATGGAAGAAAGAGACAGCCACTCCAAGTGGGAAGGTGGCGGGTTTACTGAGCAAGGGAACTTGTCTTGGGTGCCCCTCTTTCTGCAGTGGGCTCTGAGCCATCAGCAGGGGGTCTGATTCACTTGGAAGTGGCTCCTTTGGTGGCTCTCTGGCTACACTGGAGGCAGATGCCCCAGCAACAACATAGGCACGTGTAAGAGAGAATGCAGAATAAGACACTGATTCCAAAATCAGTGACAGCTTTTTCTAAGAGCCCCATGATTCGAACCACTGATTTAATAAGTTCCCAAGGCTGGGGGTTGGATCACTCAGGGCGTTCACTTATGTCCTTATGTGATTTAATAAAGATCATACATTAGCAGACTCATCAGCTGTGAACACACCACATTCTGTTTGGATAATGGCACCCAGGTGCCTCCTTGTGGAGTAATAATGTCTCAAGCCATCCTAGTTTGGAGAATAGCTATTCTCATCAGAGACATTTCAGTGTTCAGTAACAACAGACTTTGTTGGCCATCATCTAAGGCTTGCTGGATGAATTCAGTAAGGGCTTCTCTGTGTGCTGTAACCTCCAGGCCAGTGAAGGGAACCAAGATGGCAGCCACATCTTGGGTGGCTCAATTAAGCATCTGCCTCAGCTCAGGTCATGGTCATGGGTTCTGGAATCGAGCCCTGCGTCAGGCTCTCTGTTCAGCGGGGAGTTTGCTTCTCCCTCTCCCTCGCCCTCTCCCCTCTGCTTGTGCTCTTTCTTGCTCACTGTCTCTCAAATAAATAAAGTCTTTGAGAAAAATAATAATACTGCAATAAACATAGGGGTGCTTGCATCCTTTCGAATTAGTGTTTCCATTTTCTTTGGGTAAATACCGATTACTGGATCATCATATGGTATTTCTATTTTTAATTTTTTGTGGACCCTCCATATTGTGTTCCATAGTGGCTGCACTGATTTGCATTCCCAGCAACAGTTCATGAGGTTTCCTTCCCCAACCCCCCATCCTCACCAACACTTGTTATTTCTTGTCTTTTTAATTCTAGCCAATCTAACAAGCGTGAGGTGATCTCTCATTGTGGTTTTGATTTGCATTTCCCTGATGATGAGTGACGTTGAGCATCTTTTCGTGTGTGTTGGCCATCTGGAAGTCTTCTTTGAAGGAATGTCTGTTCATGTCTTCTGCCCATTTTTAATTGGATTATCTTTTGGGGGTTGAGTTGTGTAAGTTCTTCATATATTTTGGATACTCACCCCTTATTGGATATGTCATTTGCAAATATCTTCTCCCATTCTGTAGGTTACCTTTTAGTGTTGTTGATTGTTTCCTTTGCTGGGCAGAAGCTTTTTTTATTTTTGATGTAGTCCCAACAGTTTATTTCTCTTTCTAGTTCCCTTGCCTCAGGAGACCTATCTAGAAAAAAGTTCCTCCAGCCGATGTCAGAGAAGTAACTGCCTGTGCTCCCTTCTAGGATTTTTATGGTTTCAGGCCTCACATTTAGGTCCTTAACCCATTTATTTTTGTGTATGGTATAAGTGAGTGGTCCAGTTTCATTCTTTTACATGTAGCTGTCCAGTTTTCCCAACACCAGTTGTTGAAGAGACTATCTTTTTCCCATTGGATATTCTTCCCTCCTTTGTCAAAAATTAACCCTATAAGTGTAGTTTATTTCTGGGCTTTCTATTCTGTTTTGTTGATCTATGTGTCTTTTTTTTTTTTTAAGATTTATTTATTTGAGAGAGAGAGAGAGAGTGCATGCCCAAGTGGAAGGGGCAGAGGGAGAGGGAGAGGGAGAGAAATCCTCAAGCAGACTCCTCACTGAGTGCAGAGCCTGTCACGGGGCTTGATCCCAGGACCCTGAGATCATGACCTGAGCCAAAATCAAGAGTAGGACACTCAACCCACTGAGCCACCCAGGCGCCCTGTGTGTCTATGTTTCTGCCAGCACCGTGCTGTTTTGATTACTCCGGCTTCGTAACGTAACATAGAATCTGGGATTGTGATACTGCCAGCTTTTTCATTTCCAAGATTGTTTTGGCTATTTGGGGTCTTTTGGGGTTCCATACACATTTTAGGATTGTTTGTTCTAGCTCTGTGAAAAATTCGGTTGGTATTTTGATAGGGATTGCATTAAATCTATAGATTGCTTTGGGTGGTATGGACATTTTAACAATATTTGTTCATCCAACCCATGAGCATGGACTGTCTTTCCATTTGTGTCATCTTCAGTGTCTTTCATCAGTGTTTTATAGTTTTCAGAGTACAAGCCTTTTACCTCTTTTGTTAGGTTTATTCCTAGATGTTTTATTATTTTTGGTGCAATTGTAAATGGAATTGTTTTCCTAATTTCTCTTTCTGCTGCTTCATTATGAGGGTGAAGAACTGCAACAGATTTCTGTACGCCGATTTTGGATCCTACAACTTTACTGAATTCATTTATCAGTTCTAGCGAGGTTTTTTTGGTGGAGTCTTTAGGGTTTTCTATATATAGTATGAGTATGTCATGTGCATACAGTGACAGTTTTACTTCTTTCTTGCCAATTTGGATGTCTTTTATTTCTTTATGTTGTCAGATTGCTGCGGTTAGGACTTCCAGTACTATGTTGAATAAAAGTGGTGACAGTGGACATCCTTGTCTCGCTCCTGACTGTAGGGGGAAAAGCTCTCAGGTTTTCACCGTTGAGTATGACGTTAGCTGTGGGTTTATCATATATGGCCTTGATTATGTTGAGGTTTGTTCCCTCTGAACCTACTTTGTTGAGGGTTTTTATCATGAATGGATGTTGTTAGTCACATGCTTTTTCTGCATCTATTGAAATGATCGTATGGTTTTTATCCTTTCTCTTATTGATGTGATGTAGCACACTGACTGATATGCAAATATGGAGCCACCCCTGCATCCTGGGAATAGATCCCACTTGATCGTGGTGAATGATTTTTTTAATGTTATTGTTGGATTTGGTTTGCTAGTATTTTGTTGAGGATTTTTGCGTCTGTGTTCATCAGAGATATTGGCCTGTAGTTCTCTCTTTTGGTAGTGTCTTTATCTGGTTTTAGTATCATGGTAGTGCCGGCTTCATAGAATGGATTTTCCTTCTATTTTTTGGAATAGTTTGAGAACAATGGGTATTAACTCTTCTTTAAGTGTTTGGTAGAGGGGTGCCTGGGTGGCTCAGTCAGTTAAGCGTCCGACTTTTGATTTTTGGCTCAGGTCATGATCTCAGGGTCCTGGGATCAGGCCCTGTGTTGGGCTCCCCACTCGGTGGGGCTTCTGCTTGACTCCCTCTCCCTCTGTCCCTCACTCTGCTCGTGCTCTCTCTCTCTAAAAGAAAATCTTTAGGGGCGCCTAGGTGGCTCAGTTGGTTAAACGACTGCCTTCAGCTCAGGTCACGATCCTGGAGTCCCAGGATCGAGTCTCTCATCGGGCTCCCTGCTCGGCAGGAAATCTGCTTCTCCCTGTAAACCTCCCCGCTCTTGTGTGCTCTCTCTCTCTCTCTCATTCTCGCTCTCTCAAATTAAAAATAAATCTTTAAAAAAAATGTTAAAAAAATAAAATCTTTAAAAATAAATAAATAAACATCTGGTCCTGGACTTTTGTTGGTTGGGGGTTTTTTTTGTTACCAATGCAATTTCATTGCTGATAATCGGTCTGTTCAAATTTTCTATTCCCGGTTCAGTTTTGGGAGGTTATGTTTCTAGGAATTTATCCATTTCTTCTAGGTTGTTCAATTTGTTGGCATATTATTTTTCATAATATTCTCTTACAATCCTTTGTATTTCTGTGCTGTTGGTTATTTCACTTTCATTTCTGATGTTGAGTCCCCCCCCCTTTTTTTTTAATAGGTTTGGCTAAAGGTTTATCAATTTTGTTGATATTTTCAAGGAACCAGCTCCTGGTTTCATTGATCTGTTCTACTGTTTATTTAGTTTCTATATCACTTATTTCTGCTCTAATCTTTTTTTTTTTTTTTAAGATTTTATTTACTTATTCATGAGAGAGAGAGAGAGAGAGGCAGAGGGAGAAGCAGACTTCCCGCAGAGCGGGGAGCCCGATGCGGGACTCGATCCCAGGACTCCGGGATCATGACTTGAGCCGAAGGCAGACGCTTAACCATCTGAGCCACCCAGGCGCCCTGTGCTCTTATCTTTATTATTTCCTCCCTTCTGCTGGATTTGGGTTTTGTTTGTTCTTTTTCTAGCTCCTTTAGGTGTAAGGTTAGGTTGTTTGAGATTTTCCTTGCTTCTTTTTTTTTTTTTTTTTTTTTTTTTTTTTTTTTTTTTTTTTTTTAAAGATTTTATTTATTTATTTGAGAGAGAGAATGAGACAGAGAGACATGAGAGGGGGGAGGGTCAGAGGGAGAAGCAGACTCCCTGCCGAGCAGGGAGCCCGACGCGGGACTCGATCCAGGGACTCCAGGATCATGACCTGAGCCGAAGGCAGTCGCTTAACCAACTGAGCCACCCAGGCGCCCTTTTCCTTGCTTCTTGAGGTAGGCTTGTATTGCTACAAATTTCCCTCTTAGAACTGCTTTTGCTGCATCCCAGAGATTT